GACCTTGACCTTAGTCGTAGGAACCTGAGTCTTGTTCGCAACACACCATACATCTATGGTTATTTCATATATGAAAGAAAAATTAAAATCCTTTCATGCATACTGAAGTTTCAGAGCGGACACGATCGCCACTGTCTATATGTATAAAGCGGGATGGACAGATTGACAACTGAGTGACAGACAGACAGACGGACAGTTAGATTTTAATATACCACCCTTTTGGGGCATAAAAACATTCCAGTATGAGTTGGACGAGTTTCCTTTTCATTTTTTAACTCATAAGCTGAACAGTATTTCATAGGATGATGGAAAGGCATGACCTCTTGGGCCAAGTCAAATTTGGACCCCAAAGCTATAAATTGAATAACGTTAATAGAGGTTCACTAGACAATGTTTCATGCTAAAATTCTGAGCCCTAGGACTAGTAGTTTTGAAGAAAAAGATAGTTGAAATTTTTACTTAATACATATAACGAAAACACATTACCCCTGGGGCCAGGTCAATTTGAACCCAGGACATAATTTGTCTTGTTAGAGGTCCACAAGCCAATGCCCTGTGTAAAATATCTATGCTCCAGGCCATTTAGTTCTAGAGAAGTAAGTTTTTTTTAATTATTTTCTACAATTCCTTTTGCTTGCCATGACAACCAGATTTCTACATGGAGCCAAATTCTCTGGACTACTTTGGAAGCCCTTCTCCTGGAAAGTTTGGATGAAAACAGACCTGAACTTTTAAAGAAGATTTTTTTTTAAGCTCACTATATAATCTATAACACAAACACGCACGCACGTACACAGGTGAATTGTTATTTGCCACTGCATAGCATCGCAGAATGGACCTGTGCCCATCATGTTAGATAATCACAGAGAACAAGCGGGTGAAGTTTCACTAGTTTTGGAGATACCAGCTTGCACGCAAAAAAATAACCAAAGTATGACACTTTCATAGACGCTGACACTGGCATGAGTAAAACAAGAGCACCGCTAGGCAGAGCATTATATGCCCGAAAGTGTTTTTTTTTAGTAAGGATGAAGCATTTGTAAGACATTGCATAAATTAAATAAAGTATTACCTCCTTCAAATAGCAATCCTCCGATAAAGTTTGAATATTGTGGGCCAAATGGAACTTAAGTTATGCTCTGGAAACTGTTTTCAGTTTTAAGGTAATAGTGACCTTGACCTTGTGACCCCAAAAGCAATTAAGTTTTCTACCCAATATGGACAATCATCCTATGAAGTTTAAATATTGTGGGCCAAATTGAACTTAAGTTTTGCTCTGGAAACTGTTTTCAGTTTAAAGTAATAGTGACCTTGACCTTTGACCTTGTGACCCCAAAATCAATTGGGGTATTCTATCTAATATGGACAATAATCCTATGAAGTTTGAACATTGTGGGCCACAAGTAACTTAAGTTATGCTCCGGAAACTGTTTTCAGTACTAGTGACCTTGACCTTTGACATTGTGACCCCAAAATCAATAGGGGTCTTCTTCCCAATATGGACAATCATCCTATGAAGTTTGAACATTGTGGGCCACATGTAACTTAAGTTATGCTCCGGAAACTGTTTTCAGTAAAAGTGACCTTGACCTTTGACCTTGTGACCCCAAAATCAATAGGGGTCTTCTACCCAATATGGACAATCATCCTATGAAGTTTGAATATTGTGGGACAAATAGACCTTAAGTTATGCTCTGGAGACGGTTTTCAGGTTTAAGGTAATAGTGACCTTGACCTTGTGACCCCAAAATCAATAGGTGTCTTCTACCCAATATGGACAATCATCCTATGAAGTGTGAACACTGTGGGCCAAATGAAACTTAAGTTATGTTCCGGAAACTGTTTTCAGTTTTAAGGTAATAGTGACCTTGACCTTGTGACCCCAAAATCAATAGGGGTCTTCTACCCAATATGGACAATCATCCTAGGAAGTTTGAATATTGTGGGCCACATGGAACTTCAGTTATGCTCTGGAAACTGTTTACAGTTTTAAGGTGATAGTGACCTTGATCTTTGACATTGTGACCCCAAAATCAATAGGGGTCTTCTACCCAATATGAACAATCATCATTTGAAGTTTGAATATTGTGGGCCAAATGGAACTAAGTTATGCTCCGGAAACAAAATTGCTAACGGACAGACGGACGGATAGACAGACATACTCACAAAATGGTACTTATGTGACTTTTCCTTTGATCTTTTTGGCCATTTTTAGTCACACAAGGCTTAAAAAAAGACACACAAGTAAAAACGGAATGAATAGGATCAAAGAGAATTTAGTGTTACCCATTGTTCTCCAAATCACACAAGTACCTCTGGGTTCGTACAGACAGACAGACGGACGGACAGACGCCAGGGGGTATAACATAATATGCCCGAAATTCTTTCAGGCATATAAAAAGTATTGTTATTCTAGCTTAAAATGAGACAAACTCTTCGATGTTCAAATTTGTGCAATGTAAATGACTTTACAAAGGTCGCTATCCTTTACAATCTAATTGCTAAATTACTTTGTAATAATTTCTTTAATACCTATTTTACCTGTTCAATACACTACACTTTATTTCCTCTATATATTATGCAATGTTTTGTCTATTCAGACAATAATTGTAAACATTTGTGTACATCTGAAGGGAAATATAACTATAATGTTATCCTAGCGCTGCAGTACCTATCATGTGACAGCTAAACTTTATGTTATCTGTACAAATCACGTGACAACTTAAAATAAGACTTATGATTATTTATTTATCCTGTACCAATCTGTACATCCCTTGTTCTGGTTACAAGAGTAATTCATCATGTTAGTACAGGCAAGTTTCAATATTTTGTTTTGAGTCAATTAAGCTATGCATAGTTCACTTTTCTAGGCTTACAGCTTAAACTAGAACTGCCACTGTCATGGCGTGAATACCCCCGCAAACAACTTTGTCAGAATCAACAGTGGCTATTTAGAGCTCAAGGACAACCTCCCTGCCAAATCTGAGGTTACTAAGCCAGTCAATACTTGAAATGTGAAAATGTCCAAATCAATACACTGTGCATTCTTAAGCATCTGAGCAGACAAGCTTATTATAGTAAAAATCCCTGTGACATTGACCTTTGACACAGTCACCTAAAAATCAATAGGGGTCATCTACTAGTCATAAACAACCTAAATACCAAATATGAAGACTGTTGACCAAAGCATTCTTAAGCAATTGAGCGGACAAGCATTTTTTAATCAAGGCCCCTGTGACCTTGACCTTTACCCAGTGACCTAAAAATCAATAGGGATCATCTCATTATCATGACCAATCTAAATACCAAATATGAGGACTGTGGGTCAAAGGAATCTTATGTTATTGGGCGAACAAGCGTTTTTTACACAAGGCCACTGTGACCTTGACATTTGACCCTGTGACCTCAAAATCAATAGGGACCATCTACTTATCATGACCAATCTAAATACTAAATATTAAGACTGTGGGTCAAAGGAATCTTAAGTTATTAGGCGGACAAGCTTTTTTTACTCATGGCCCCTGTGACCTTGACCTTTGACCCTGTGACCTCAAAATCAATATGGATCACCTACTAATCATGACCAATCTAAATACCAAATATAAGGAATGTGGGTCAAAGGAATCTTAAGTTATTAGGCGGACAAGATTTTTTTACTCAAGGCCCCTGTGACATTGACCTTTGACCCTGTGACCTCAAAATCATTAGGGGTTATCTACTAATCATGACCAATCTAAATACCAAATATGAAGACTGTGGGTCAAAGGAATCTCAAGTGACTGGGCGGACAAGGAACAAGAGCTGTCACAGGAGACAGCGAAGCTCGACTAATAAAATACGGAAAGAAAAATCAATTATGTATAATAATGTATTAAGTTATAGTAAAAAAATAACATTTGTTAACATGAATTCCAAGATCAAGGGGAATAATTGTAGAAATAGTCATGCTAGAGTTATGAACCTTGTCACACAACATGTGTGTAATGATAAGAAATAAATATTTGAAGTTTGAAGTAGATACCTTAAAAAGTAAAGAAGTTATAATATTTCTTAAAGAAAATCCTAAGTTCAAAGAAAAATAAATCTGTAAATATTGCTTCAAGAGTTATGAACATTGTCACATAAAATGTAATTGAAGATAAGGAATAAGTATTTGAAGTTTGAGGTAGATATCTTTAAAACTAAAAAAGTTATAGTAAAAAATATAATTTTTCTAGTAAAAAAATCTAAGTTTATGGAGAGATAATTCTTGCAATATTAGTGCTAGAGTTATGAACCTTGTCACATAAGATGTGGATGATGATAAGGTACATATATTTGAAGTATGAAGTTGATCCCTTTAGAAATAAATAAGTAACAGTAAAAAATAATATTTTTAAGGAACATTCTAAGCTCAAGGGGAGATAAATCTGAAAATATTGGTGCTACAGTTATGAACCTTGTCACATAAGATGGGGATGATAATAAGGTACATATATTTGAAGTATGAGGTTGATCCTTTAAGACATAAAGAAGTAACAGTAAAAAACAGTATTTTTTGAGGAAAATTCTAAGTTCAAGGGGAGATAAATCTGAAAATATTGGTGCTAGAGTTATGAACCTTGTCACATAAGATGTGGTTGATGATAAGGAACATATATTAGAAGTTGATACCTTAAGAAATAACAAAGTTATAGTGACAAATATTTTACTGCACCAAAACTTTAATCTGAAATCTGGACGCGGACGCCGGGGCGAGTAGGACAGCTCTCCATATACTTCGTATAGTCGAGCTAAAAACCGACGGATGACCGAACGAACAAGCTGATTCCAGTATACCCCCCTTACAACTTTGTTGTGCGGGGGTATAATAAATTGAAGAAACAATTTTTTAAGTACATGTTTGTCACCCATATAAGAACTTAAGCAACACAAAGTAGTATCTTTACGATATTATGAGAGATTTATCAAATAAGACAATTTACCATATCAAATGGTTATAATGGCATACACATTTGTACCTGATATCAGAGTAAGGAATTGTTTGCACTTTCCTTCATCAGCAATCAATAATGTATAGCTAGAACACTCTGTCTCAAATTCTAGTCGTAATGTTTGGTATCCTAAGCCTATATCTATATAGCGGAGCTCTGAGATTGGCTGATTCTCATATGATTTCAACCAGTCAGTTGAGGCAGCACTGAAATATCAACAAGGCAATAGGCATTTGACTTTCTAAAATATGTTATATCAGCTCTGGAGACAAAATAATAATACATCTTGGTTTAAATCACGATAAATAGGCATAATATGCTACAAATGCATACAGTGTTCCATATAGACATTTGTGCACATTTTGATTAAAAACTAACATACCAGTTTAATATTTGGTTTAAAAAGATATTATTTTCTGGCTTCATTCAAACAATGACCCATCACTAAAGCTTGGATGTGGGGGTGGCATTTAGGTTTCTTTACAAATACTGGCAAAAAAACTGAGCAGTGGCTCTAACATTACATGTCTGAGATAGATATACTGACACTCAAGCACACACATGCACGCAAATTTGACTGTTTCTTAAATATGTCACTAAGAGTTATAATTTAAATAGAAATGCTTTTTTTATCAGATTTATCGAGTGCAGTAACTCCTTTTAAATTTCATAGAAAAGTATGTAGAGACTAATAAGACTATACACACTGTAGCTTATTTATATTTTGAGCAACTGTATAACAATTGCTCCAATATTAACAATACAGGGCAAATTCTGCAATGCCACCTTTTTTGTGTCATACATAACACGGTTGTTTTGCACCTAGCTGTTTACTGCGAAACAATTTTAGGCTGAAATGCACATACACTTAGAAAAAAGTTGTGTATACAGTCAACATTGTATTAAAAGACTACTCAAGGGACTGCCAAAAAGTGGTCTTTTAATAAAGTGGTCTCTCAATAGAATTCTAGAAAATTCGAGACTCAAGGGTTTCTTTTCTATACTACAAGTCAAAGATATAATAGCATCTTTTTATAATAACAAGAACTGAACAATATTATGTATGTATTACAGTTTCATAATTACATTATGCCTTTTTTTAAAAAGTCATCAATGTGTTTGTTTTTTGTTTTTAAGAAGAAATTTTGTGTACAAATGTGACCTACACTCATAATACTATCAAGCAGGTCATTGTGACTATGAAACAAAACATATTGTCTTATATTGTTAATATGTTCATGCACATCTCCAGCTGAGCATACTTTCAAATCTCAGCCAGAGTTCCAGATAATTTTTCATGCAATTAGTTTTAATCTTCTTGATTTTTTCAGCAATTAGTTTTTTACACTACCCGAGGTTTTTTTTAGAGATCTAGGATTTTTTTTGTCGAAGGGTCATATTTAATGGGGTACTACATATATTTTATTAAGCATCAGATTAGCACCTGCACCTTACTGAAGTACGTTTCACATTTTTTTTTCGACTTCAAACGATGACATTTGCTATTTATTCAGACTCAATTCTACACACGATTTCCTCATTTGATTTAACCGGTCTTTTAAGCTGTCTGTCATTTTTTCGCTCGTTCCGACGTCATTTTCGATTTGATTTTCTGCAAGGGAATTCACTCCGAGCACATGACAAAACTGTGCAAAAGCGGTGTTGTGGTACGTTACTGCTCGGAAAACTGTTTCTTTCGTTTCCGACTTTGAAACGATTGAAATTGTCATTCCATTCGGTTTTAAACGATGATTATTTGCCACGGTCGTTTAATTGATACTTTAATACTTAATTTAATATATTTTGGCCGACATTTAGTGGATGCTGGCCGCGATAAAAAACGTCATTTAATGGAATTAATTTATATAGTGAAAATCATCGGGAGGGATTTTATGCAGCTGCTTAATAAACTAGAAATGTGTCCATAGGACACGGGTGCCCCCACACTCCACCAATTTGTCAATCTCATGTCTCGAGGTCAAATATTTTTTTGGCTACATGTGCCCAAGTTGAAAACTAAAAATATTGTATTAAGTAAATGGCAAATACTACAAATACTGAATAAATCCACAAGAAAACCCCAAGGTGCATAAGTACACATGCTGACCGACATTCTTGTAAATTTTCAGGCCTACAGGTCAAATACTTTTTGAGTTACGTGCAACACAAGATGAATATTGTAAATTTTTACTAAGTCAAGGGCAATAACTCTAAAAATACTAAAAATATCCACAAGAAAATACCCAGGTGCACAACTACACATGCTGATCAACATTCCTGTAAGGTTTCATGACTCTGGGTCAAATATTTTTTGAGTTACGTGCGACAAAAGTTGAAAATTGCAAAATTTTACTAAGTCAAGGGCAATAACTCTAAAATACTAAAAATATCCACACGAAAATACGCAGGTGCACAACTACACATGCTGAGCAAAATTCTTGTAAGATTTCATGACTCTAGGTCAAATGCTTTTTTAGTTACGTGCGACACAAGTTGAAAATTGGAAATTTTTACTAATTCAAGGGCAATAACTCTAAAAATAGTAAATATATCCACACAAAAATACCCAGGTGCACAACTACACATGCTGATCAACATTCCTGTAAGGTTTCATGACTCTAGGTCAATTACTTTTTGAGCTACATGCGACACAAAAAGAGAACGGACGGATGGAAGGATGGACGACGGACGGACAAGGGTAAATCTAAATGCCCTCCCTATAGTGGGGGCACAAAAAGTTGCTTAATAAAGGTGGACACAAGTATGATGCCGACTGTATTTAGTAACTAGAAATGTGCGCATAGGACACGGATGCCCCCACATTCCATTGTTTTATCAATCTACTTACTCTAGGTCAAATGTTTTTGGGATACATGTCACACAAGTTGAAAACTGAAAATCTTTTACTTAGTAAATGACAAACTCTTCAAATGTTGAATATATCCAGAAGCAAGTCCCAATGTGCATTACACATGCTGACCAACATTCTTGTATACTTTCAGGACTACAGGTCAAATACTTTTTGAGCTATGCATGAACAAGTCTATAATTTATACAAGTCAAGGGCGATTACTAAAATAATAAAAAAAATCCACATGCAAAACAGCATGCAGGTGCACAGCTTCACAGTGATGTTGATTATCATTCCTGTTCTGACTCAAGCACTCAAGGTACATATAACAACATTTTGGAATGGTTTTTATTAATTCAATGGCAGTAACTCAAGAAAAACTTAATAAATCCACAACAGAAACCCCTGTCCTGCACAACTTCATATGCTTATTAACATTCCTGTAAAGTTTCATGACTATAAGTCAAACACTATTTGAGCTACGCACCACACAAGATGAAAATTGTTAATTTTTACAAAGTCAAGGGCAATAACTCTACAAATACTGAATACATTCACAAGAGAACCTGCAGGTGCACAACTTCCCATGCTGACCAACATTTCTGTCAAGTTTCATGACCTTAGGTCAAATACTTTTTGAGCTAGTCGCAAGACAAACAAGAGCCACCGCCGGGCGGGGGCAACGCTCGACTTTTTACTTTCTCTAAAAGCAAACAAAGAAATGTTTGAACAAAATCTTAACATTTCCTTTTTATAAAATTAATCATTCTGTCTTGTCACATTAGTTTTGTCTATATATCTTTTATATACAAATATACTAATTTATATATATATAAATAGAGACACGCAATTCTATAAATAGAAAATTCTATAAATAGAAACACACAATTCTATAAATAGAAAATTCTATAAATAGATACACGTGGTGGAGACATGTGATGAAGTCTCGTGGTGGAGTCACGTGGTGGAGACACGTGGTGGAGTCACGTGGTGGAATCATGTGGTGGAGACACGTGGTGGAGTCACGTGGTAGAGGCACGTGGTGGTCACGTGGTGGAGACACGTGGTGAAGTCACGTGGTGAAGTCACCTGGTGGTGTCACGTGGTGAAGTCACGTGGTGAAGTCTCGTGATGAAGTCACGATAAACAACAAGGTCTTGTCCTTAAGTATGTTCTGTTACAATATGAAGTTGATCCCTTCAATAATAGCAAAGTTACAGCCAGTTACAGCCAAAACAAAGTCAAGGTCATTAATGAGTGAAGGTCAAGGTCTGTAGGGTTATTTTTAAGGGTTATCCTTGAAGATTATTATATTCAAGTTTGAAGACAATCCATTCAAAAATAACAAAGTTACAGCCAATAATAGCCAAAAACATGAAAATTTCAATAATTTGACCTTCAAAGTCAAGGTCATTTATGAGTGAAGGTCAATGTTTGTCGGGTTATTTTTAAGGGATATCCTTGAAGATTATTATGTTCAAGTTTGAAGACAATCCATTCAAAAATAACAAAGTTACAGCCAATTACAGCATGAACAAGCAAAATTTGGACTTTTAACCTTGAAGGTCAAGGTCATTTATGGATGAAGGTCAAGGTTAGTGTGGTCTACTGAAAGGTCTTGTCCCAAGAGTTGCTGTGGCCAAGTATGAAGACAATACACCAAGAAATAAAAAAGTTATGATCCAGGTACAAGTTTGCGGACGGCAACGCCGCCGCGACTAAAACAATACCTCTACTTTTCATTTCAAAAAAAAAAAAAAAAAAAGTCGAGCTAAAAATGAAAATTGCAATTTTTGCTAAGTCAATGGCCATAACTATAACAAAACAGAAGAAGATATTTAAAGTTTTTTCTTTTGGTTGCCATGGCAACCAGAGTTCTGCATGGAATTAAATTCTTTGAACAATTTTCAAAGGTGACCACCAAAGGAACATTCCTGTGAAGTTTGGATGAAATTGGCTTAGTGGTTTATGAGGAGATGTCATTTAAAGTAAAAGTTTACGGACGCCGGACGGACGGACGGACGAAAAGCGATCACAAAAGCTCACCCTGTCACTTTGTGACAGGTGAGCTAAAAATTGATCTCGTAGTCTAAGCTTCACAATATTTTTAAAGTGATCAAAAACCGTTTTTACCTACAAGGTCAATATGACCTTGACCTTTGACCTGCTGACCCCAGAATCAACAAGAGGGCCATGATGGCCCTGAGGTCACTCACCTGTATATAGGCCCCCGGAGCGGGGCCAGTTTAAACCCCAGGGCTATTATTTGAACAAACTTGGAAGACACTCACTAGAAGATGTTTCATGCTTAATATCTAAACTCTAGCTATTTGGGTTTTTTCAAAGAAGATTTTTTAAGTTTTTGCTATACACATATAATGAAAAACAATGACCTTCCCCCCCCTCCCCAGCAGGGCCAATTTTAACCCAAGGGCTTTTATTTGAACAAACTTGGTAGACACCAATAAGAAAATGTTTCATGCTAAACATTTGAGCTCTAGCTCATTTGGTTTTTTAAAAGAAGATTTTTTAAGTTTTTAATAGACACATAATTAGTTAAAAACAATGACACCCCTGGAGCGGGGTCAGTTTTGACCCCAGGGCTTTTATTTGAACAAACTTGGAAGACACTTACTAGAAGATGTTTCATGCGTAATATCTAAACTCTAGCTATTTGGGTTTTTTCGAAGAAGATTTTTAAGTTTTTGCTATACACATATAAGGAAAATCAATGACCCCCTGGGGTGGGGACAATTTTGACCCCAGGGCTTTTATTTGAACAAACTTGGTAGACACTCATTAGAAAATGTTTCATGCTAAATATCTAAGCTCTAGCTCTTTGCGTTCTTTAAAAGAAGATTTTTAAAGTTTTTACTATATGCATATAGGGAAAATCAATGACCCCCCGGGGCGGGGCCAATTTTGACCCCAGGGCTTTTATTTGAACAAACTTGGTAGACACTCACTAGAAGATGTTTCATGCCAAATATCTAAGCTCTAGCTCTTTGGGTTTTTTAAAAGAGAATTTTTAAAGTTCTTACTATATGCATATAGGAAAAATCAATGACCCCCTGGGGCGGGGCCAATTTGGACCCCAAGGCTTTTATTTGAACAAACTTAGTAGACACTCACTAGAAGATGTTTCATGCTAACTATCTTAGCTCTAGCTCTTTGGGTTTTTTAAAAGAAGATTTTTTTAAGTTTTTACTATATGCATATAGGGAAAATCAATGACCCCCTGGGGCAGGGCCAATTTGGACCCCAAGGCTTTTATTTGAACAAACTTGGTAGACACTCACTAGAAGATGTTTCATGCTAACTATCTTAGCTCTAGCTCTTTGGGTTTTTTAAAAGAAGATTTTTTTAAGTTTTTACTATATGCATATAGGGAAAATCAATGACCCCAGGGCTTTTATTTGAACAAACTTGGTAGACACTTACTAGAAGATGTTTCATGCCAAATATCTAAGCTCTAGCTCTTTGGGTTTTTTAAAAGAAGATATTTTAAGTTTTTTCATTCGGTTGCTATGGCAACCAGAATTCTGCATGGAATTAAATTCTTTGAACAATTTTTAAAGGTGACCACCAAAGGAACATTCCTGTGAAGTTTGGATGAAATTGGCATAGTGGTTTATGAGGAGATGTCATTTAAAGTAAAAGTTTACGGACGGACGGACGGACGCCGGACGAAAAGCGACCACAAAAGCTCACCCTGTCACTTTGTGACAGGTGAGCTAAAAAGGGTCATCTACTTGCCAAGACCTACGAAGTTTGATGGCAAACAGCAAATAGGTTGTCAAGTTATTGATCGGAAACCGTTTTTACCTGCAAGGTCAATGTGACCTTGACCTTTGACCCCAAAATCAATAGGAGTCATCTACTGACCAAGACCAATGCATCTATGCAGTTTGAGGGCCAAAAGCCCATGGGTTGTGAAGTTATTGATTGGAAACCGTTTTTACCTACTTTTACCTTGACCTTTGACCCCTTGAGCCTAAAATCAATAGGGGTCTTCAACATGCCAAGATCATGTTACGAAGTTTGAAGGCCAACTGCCCATGGGTTGTCAAGTTATTAACTTTTTTAACCTACAATGTGACCCTGACCCCAAAATCAATAGGAGTCATCTTCTGGTCATGTACAATCCTTATACTAAATTTAAAGTTGCTTCTGCCCGCTGACTTCAGCATTACAATAACCGGTTTTCGTTGAAAACCTAGTTAATAATGGGGATAAAAGGATTACACTGCAGGTACTTTTAGGATTTGTTGCGTGGTTTTCTTTTAAAATATGCATTACATGTGAAATATTTTACAAAAAAAACAAAACAAAACGGAAAGAAAAATATTAACCTTTCCACTCCAATTCTAAAGATTATGATACGGTGTGTAGAGATGACAAGTAAACTTTTAATTACTTCTTCTTTCATATATTGTACAATATCACACTGAAACAAAGAGAAAACATAGATAAAATTCATTGCAAAGACTGAGCAATTCCAATTATGTGGTTTGATCAAGTAAGTATGATTCAAGTTGTTCCTTTAACATATTTTGAAACAATTTGGCTTAAATAAATATATAGTACATTAAAACATTTTGTGATGACAACATGATTGTAGCTTAAAAATCAAGATCACATTATATTTTCATAAAAGTACATTGATGTTCATATCTAGTCATCAATTCTGTCAATCATGAATGGAAATAACTAGGCATACTTTTGTGGCTATAGAAACATGTCACACACAAACTCAAGGCAGGTCAACAGTTAGAAAGTGAAAGTTAATGTCAAAAAAGTACATTGATGGTGTGTCTGGTTATTTTGACATGTACTCATTGATCCTTTTTGATCAAGAATTTGTAACAGAGTTACCAACGTCCCCCGCCTCGGGGAAGTTTTATATGAAGCATAAAATTGTGCTATTTCAAAAGATTGAGGTATGGATCTCAGGGCTATCAGTCCAAGTTTATGATCAATGCTATATCTGCAAATGCAACAATAAATTTATTAAAGAAATAAAATGAAACGAGGAATTTAAAAATCTATCATGTTAAGCTTTGACCTCTAAGTGTGAACTTGAACTTGGAGGTAGGGGTGCAGGTGTTGTGCATGACATATCGTCTTATTATTGTCACTATATGTGCCAAGTATTTTCAAAATCCCTTGAACTATGAAAAAGTAATAGATCATAAAATATACCCTATAACAGACTATGTTAATTTTTGACCTCTTAGTGTGACCTTGGAGGTAGGGATGTAGGTGTTGTACTTGACATATCATCTTATTTTTGTGACTATTTGTGCCAAGTTATTTCAAAATCCCGAAGAAGTTCTAGATCGGACACAAAATATACCCTTAAATAGACTATGTTACTTTTTGACCCTAAGTGTGACCTTGAACTTGGAGGTAGGATTGCAGGTGTTGTGCATGACACATTGTCTTATTGTAGTGTCTATTTGTGGCAAGTATTTACAAAATCTTTTGATCTATGAAAATGTTATGGACCGGACACAAAATATACCCTGTAACAGACTATGTTAATCTTTGACCTCCAAGTGTGACCTTGACCATACATGCCATAACGTCCCGGATGTCAGGGACAGTCCCGGAAATCAGGTGTCTGTCCCGGAGATGATTTATGTCCCCGTAAAAAATAATCTACTTTGAAGCAAGAAATTTTACATTTTTATATAATTTTATTGTCAAGTTTTTATAAACTAGTCTAGAATGCTATTAACAAACGAATATCCCCTAACAGCATTGCAATGGTGACACTAATCCTTTGACTGGTATATCTAAGTGCCCCTTCCAACAAACAATTGTATCATAGTTTGGGGACCTTTCTGTTTAAAATGTGTCAGAGTTAAATCGTATACATATACATGCACAGTGCGTTAACTGGAGTACAGGTATTAGTTACCCGCACTCCGGAGCATGCCCATTAATTGGTTCATTACTTATTGTGACGGCATGGACAGGGAAAGCGACAGAAATATCATATTCAGATGCTCGTTCATTGGTTCCCTTTTTCTGGGGTTTCATATTGTGACAACAGGGAACGTGTGACAATGATACAAAAGAGAAAAAACATCAAAACACTCGGCAATCTGATTAATACTCGGGGACTACGCCCCCTCATACAAATCGGATAGCCTCGTGTTTCGATGCTCTTTATATTACTTATCGGCAATAATTTTGATCAATTGAAAGATTAATTGTTTACCCCCTGTGGCTTCCTGAGCGAAGGTGTCATACACTGTAATTAGCAACTGGCCAGTATAAATTTAATCCGCCTGGAGGCAGTTATTAGTGGTCAAACACCGTGAAAATTACCGCTAAATCTGAGGTGATGAAGTCTAAAAGATTCAGCGAATGTTTCAGGTAAACGACATGGTCAATTGTCATTACTTAACATAGCTTTATTCTACTCTGTGACTGATTGAATTAACGATGCGTAAATACTTAAACAAGAGGGCCATGATGGCACTGAAGTCGCTCACCTGTATATAGGCCCCAGTAACGGGGCCAGTTTAAACCCCAGGGATTTTATTTGAACAAACTTGGTAGACACCCATTAGAAGATGTTTCATGCTAAACATCTAAGGTCTAGCTGGTCAAGTTTTTTCTTTACGCATATAGTTAAAAACAATGACACACCTGGGGCAGGGTCATATTGGACCCAAGGGTTTTTATTTGAACAATATTTGTAGACACTTACTAGAAAATGTTTCATGCTTAATATCTGAACACTAGCTATTCGGATTTTTTGAAGAAGATTTTTAAGTTTTTGCTATACACAAATAAGGAAAATCAATGACCCCCGGGTTGGGGCCAATTTTGACCCCAGAGCTTTTATTTGAACAAACTTTGTAGACACTTACTAGAAGATGTTTCATGCTTAATATCTAAACTCTAGCTATTTGGGTTTTTTCAAAGAAGATTTTTAAGTTTTTGCTATACACATATAAGGAAAATCAAAGACCCCTTGTGGCGGGGCCAATTTTGATCCCAGGGCTTTTATTTGAACAAACTTTATAAACACTCACTAGAAGATGTTTCATGCTTAATATCTAAACTCCAGCTATTTGGGTTTTTTCAAAGAAGATTTTTTAAGTTTTTGCTATACACATATAAGGAAAATCAATGACCCCTGGGGCGGGGCCAATTTTGACACCAGGGCTTTTATTTGAAAAAACTTGGTAGACACCCATTAGAACATGTTTTATGCTAAATATCTTAGCTCTGGCTCTTTGAATTCTTTAAAAGAAGATTTTTTAAGTTTTTACTATATGCATATAGGGAAAATCAATGACCTCCTGGGGCGGGGCCAATTTTGACCCCAGGGCTTTTATTTGAACAAACTTGGTAGACACTCACTAGAAGATGTTTCATGCTTAATATCTAAACTCTAGCTATTTGGGTTTTTTCAAAGAAGATTTTTAAGTTTTTGCTTTACACATATCAGGAAAATCAATGACCCCCGAGGCGGGGCCAATTTTGACCCCAGGGCTTTTATTTGAACAAACTTTGTTGACACTCACTAGAAGATGTTTCATGCTTA